GAACTAAGGATGAAGCCTTTCAAGTGCATTGCATTCTCAATCAGCACAGGCTTATGAATGCGTTCCACACTGCTCCTGGGAAGTATCTGAGGATCTTTGCGGACCCCTATCAGCTGCAGAAGGCTATCTTGGGTCTTCGGCAAAAGCAGCTTACCATCCCTGACAGCCTCGCGTTGCATGCCGCAAGATTTCACATTTGCAATGTGAAGAACTCACAGGAAATCTTTGCTTGGAAGGTGACTCAACCTTTCAACTCTACAGAGGTTTCTCTGCAGATCACCTTTCACAATTGCACCGGAGACATGCAAGACATTATTCAGGATCTTGAGTACATCAAAATTCCGGCGCAATACAGAGGAATCGTACATGTATTAGCTGGCACTGATGTTGTCATACCTGCTGTCCATGTAACTGCTACTGTCGCCGCTGCCGATGCGCTCACTCAATGTCAATATTTCGACCTTCCTTGTGGAAGAACTGAAGTGCAATTGCTGCAAGAGGTTGTTGATGCCCCAAGATGGAGCAACAAGCCCATTAATCACATTTCCGAGAACCCTAGAGAACATTTTTTGAATTGCCACTCTGGGAGCGATAAGATTGGGCAAGGAAGATTGATCCATGTCAGAGCAAGGGATGAGTATCACCCCTTGTCCAAACAACGAATTGCTAGTACAATTTGGCACAAGGATGACCTTGAAACACATTTCCTGATCATTGACAGACAGGCGCCTTACGTTGTTATGACTGGTAAATGTGAGGATGTTCCCGAACTAGTGAAGCTGCAGAGTGTCCAGACATTTCTCAGCCAAAATGAAGCCTTTCAAGGTTGGAGATTGCCAGAAAACCTTCCTAAGGCTTCCCAAGAGGATGAAGACTTTACTGCTGAACTGGGATCTATCCAGTACCTGCTTGTCCGCATTACTGGTAAGACTGAACTAGAGATCCCGCTAGTTCTCAAGAACGGCCAACATCTCGCTTGTCATCCGGGATCTTCTGCGAGTAACAATGTTCTCGTCTCCCTACATCAGGGCGCGCTTCTATTCCTGCCACGATGTCACTCATGTGATATCATCAAGTTGATAGGGATTAATACTAGCGTCATCTATGCTTTTAACATCCACACTGATGATAGACTTAAGGCTACTGCAGCCAATAAGCCGAACAAAGCCAGATGTGCCAATCATCAGGATGGGAAGTCAAGCAAGGTTGCCATGGAGCAATCGGATACTGCCCAGTGCCCGACTTTGCTCCATGGAAAGCCTCCTGCTGTTAAAGGTGATGATACGGCTGCCAATATGTTACCGGAAAATCCTGCCTCAGCACAGTTGAGTCAAGAAGGTGGGACTGGCAAAAGAAATATTGAGAGTAGCAAGGAAAAGGTTGAGATTGCTAGAAGACGTAATACTGTCCTAAGGTTCCAGGCGGAAGTCCCGGCCAACGTTCAAGAAGAAGTGCAAAGGCGCATTGCTGGCCTTTATTGCCCTGTTGCTGCTGCCTATCGGGTCATCTCGTGTGCTCAATGGAACAAAGAGCAATGCCAGCATTACGCCCCCTTTCCTAAACAAGCAGCTCTTGTCCTTGCTGCGGTTGGATATAATATACGTGAGGCTGCTCGAGCCAAGCTTGCACACATACTTGGTCTGACCTATCTTCAATTGGCAAGTGCTACACCGTTGGAGCTTCAAAGCTTTACTGAGGTGTATAGTAAGGCCATTTGGGCTATTCCGGCCAAGGAGCAATACACCATGCTTGTGCAGATCCACTGCAAGTGCTCCATGTGCCAGCAGCCACAGCCCATTCTTGCTCTGCCGTTGCATTCTGAACAGGACTCCTCTGATCAGATCAGTATCCTCGCTGATCTAGGTCAACTTGCTGACCTTGCGATTGCGTGCATGCAGCAAAACTTGAGCCCTCGCAATGACACGTGCAAACTTGCCATTCAAAGACTCCCGTCTTTCTTCTGCCTTCTCACACAGAAGACTCAGAAAAGCTCTTTTGCGCAAGTCTGCAAAAGCGAGGCGGATATCCAAAGCTTTCTTGGCAGTACGGTATCAGTCATGCAACAGGCATATATTGTCGTTGCACTCGTTCTGCATGATCCTAGTGCTAAGCACTACCTAGTGCTACACCATGCCAAAGAACAAGCAGGAGATTCAATTCTTCTTTATGACTCAATCTACGGAGTCCGTAAAGAAAATTTGTGGGCACAATTGATTAAGGCTGAGCACTACATTGAAGCCATCTTCATCAGAAGTGTTTGTGCCAATCAGCTTTACCCCGCCACTGCTCTCATTAACTCTTTTAATGAGATTATCCGGCATCATGCTGATCCCAGTGAAAACGCAGAACAGCATATCAGTAGTGAAACACTCACTATTGAGCAAGCTAAGATAACGAAGGTCGCAAGCTGGGACAGCCCTGTCCCTTCTGCAACCTATATGACCATCACCTCAGAGGATGATTTTGGCTTGCCTAATCCGTCCTGTGCCCATCTTCTGCCACAAGCCGAGGAATGTAAAAGCGGTACTGAATTTACTCTCGCCCAAAAGGGCAAACTCGATGAGGAGTCAGAACACCAAGCCAGTGTTAGTCTCCAACCCGACCCTAGTACTGCTCTGGCGACACAACTTGATAGTGCATCTCTTCCTGAAGTGCACTCCATTGCTACTGATTCCGATGAGGAACAGAGACCGCAACAACATGAAGTTCAAACTGCGCTGAACTCTGAGAAGAATGGCTCTGATAGGGGCAGCCAGCCCCTTAAAGCCAAGCCCGACTTGAGCTCTGATTCTCAGATGCGTAGAGTCAAGAAAAGCCTCGATAAGCTTAACAATGCCAAGCCTGTCTCCAAGAGAAAAGATGGTAAAATTGGAAGCAGGAACAATCAAATTAATGCTGTCTCGTCGGAAGACTGCATACAGGTCGCACTTGGTGTTGAACGTTACATCATCTTATCGCTTTTTGATGGATGCGGAATATCACGTGCTGTCACCGTTGAATGCCTCAAGCAACAACCTGTTGCGGCTGTGAGTGCAGAAAGTGACAGCGTCCTTCGCGCCCTCATATGCCATAAGTATGACTATGACAAAAGCCAAAGATGGGCTCTTGACTCGCGCCGTGTGCCATCGATCGCAATTAATGACGTTTGGACTCTACTTAAAGAGGATTACCGATTGCTGCGTGAATGTTTGTCCTTCCTGGGAAGGATTCATCCACAAAAAACAGCCATCATCATTCCCGCCGGTTCCCCCTGCCAAGATCTCACGGTTGCAGGGTCCAGCTCAGGTGGATTAGGACTTCTGGGAGACCGCTCGCAACACATGCTTGTCTTATACGCGATTTTGCTTGCATTCCAAAGCATTGAACCCAGTATCCTTCAGTGCGTGCACATCTTCCTTGAAAATGCTGGGTCTATGAAGCCCATCAACCAGGGCTTCATTCAGCAGATCTTCGGAATACGTGATTGTTGCTGCCATCATATTGCTGGAGCTACATTCGGCCATGTTGAAAGGAAAAGAAAATTCTTTACTAGATATGGGCAAATTGGCACCTTCAGCATCGCCCCACTCCGTGGTTCCAAGGATGGCGTCCTGTTGCGGAACACATGTGCGGAATAAAACCCCCTGGCGAAAAGCTCAAGCCTTGGCTTCGTCCCAAACGCTTTGATCGCGAGAGGGGGCTTCGATTGGCTGCATACTTTTACCACCCCTCTGCCCTTCTTTACCATGTACCCAGCTTCGGCGGAGCTGAAGCCTTCCAGAGGCAATTCTCACAAGCGGCTAATACCTCCAATGGGGTTCCAAATCTACAATGGGAAAAATTTGTTCCTGATGGACCCATTGGCCTGCGCTTTGTAACAGATGTTCAGAAGCTTCCTCTTCAAGCGGACGTCCCAAGCCTTGCAGCAATGGATCGCTTTGCTGAAGCTAATTACGAACTTCTCCGTGCAGAAAATGCTTTCCTTATCGGTGATAGTGGCATTCCTCCCTTCAGGGTTGCTCACTACAAGGAAATGTTGAGAGATGCTGAGCTCGATATCTGGCTTGCAGATGTGGAAGAACACATTAATGATATGTGTATTGCTTCCATTGTTGGGAACTGCTTCTACCCTGGTGCTCTCAAAGCTGCGATCAAACACGCATCCCTTCGAGAGTTACTGAATGAAAACCCCGACAGTCATTGGAAGCCGCTTCCCCTCTCACAGTTTCTCCAATACTGGCCTAGCTATGGCCAACAAGTTCTTGCTGCTACTACAGCTGTTAAGCTACAAGACAAGTTTTCGCATAAGTTTCATGCGCCTTTTCCATGCGATGAACTTAATGCTGTTGGCTGGCTCAAACAAGGTTTAATTGTCAATAAACCTGTTGTTCTGGAGGAAACCCCCGGCCAAGGTAAATTCCAAGGCATTAGAGAGAGCGCGTCCGGCATTCCTAGAGGAATTTCCTTTGCGACGGAAACTCGATTCCATCAAACGCAAGACTTATTGCAAGAAAAAGGGATCCCATCGGCCATCCAGCGTGTCTTGCAAATTGTCAACCCTCAATTACAACTTTTGTGTGGATCGAGACGCAATGTCATGGCCAATTTGTGCAGAGAGACTGTTGCGAATCTCGGTGCCAAGTTTGCCTTACATTTTCTTGACTTCCCTGCACAAGGGTGGTGCCTGATCAGCTTTCTCAAAGCGTTGCATCTTGAGTTTGTCGCGTATAGAGACGAGTTCATCCCTCAATTCCTCCTTGTAAAGGGACAGCAAAATTGTAAAGTTTTTCTACTACCTGGGAACCCCACCTACCAACCCAAAGGGTTGATGAGCATGTGTGGATTTGTGACTCATGTTTTACCGACAGCGCCTTTACCGGTTCAAGGAAAAAGAGCGACTTGAAGTTTAGCACGGTAGCGGAGCACACTGTGCATCCGGGACCGAAGCCATGCCTCGTGGCCGTGATGATGGTTTGGGTTGGAACTGTGGAGCCAATGGAGCCCACAGAACCTACAGAGCCATGGAACTCACAGAACCCATGGAGCCAATGGAACTCACAGAACCCATGGAGCCGATGGAACCCGCAGAGCCCATGGAAGAAGTGGAACAAGAAGAAGAAATGGAGCCACGAAGAAAGGAGATCAAAATTCACCGTGTTGGCATGGGAAAAGGCTACGGATCTTCAGCAAGTAGTGCAGCTGAAGGAAGTGGAAGTGCACCAAGCTATATGCCTCCAAAGCCGAAGAAGAAGCCCGAACGACCAGCGGTGGAAGGAAGAGATTACATTCCCTTGGAAGGAGGAGAACCAGACGGGCCAGTGGAGATCGGGAGTCCTAGTTCCTCTAGCCCCGAAACTACAATGGTGTACCAAGAGGCACCACCTACACCAAGAAGGGAGCCGAGAACACTTTCGTCTGGGCACATCGCCTTGGAGCTGCAAGAGCAGCAAGTGTCTGCTGAGCAACGCAGGCGTAGGCAGCTGGAGAGACTCTCTGCACTCTCAGCGGAAGCTGAAAGGATCCAACGGCGAGCAAGGGAGCGAGCCTTGCAGGAGCCAGTTCGGTTTCCAAAGTCAGGAGGGCCACCGCCACCACCAGCGGGCCCAGAACCAGAGCAAGCTCCAGAGTGTCCACCGCCAGGACAAGAACGAGCTCCAGAGTGTCCACCTCCGGACCCAATGCCGTGTGGTACGAAACTTCCTCTTCACACGCTGGACGGGGAACCCAGCAACGCAGCAGTGGCGGAACACATCCGCCGGAATGAGGAAGAGTATGCTGCAAGACGTGCCGGTGCAATTCCTTCAGGAGACGAAGCAAGAGCCAGGGAATCCAAGGAATTTGCTCGTGGAGTTGCATACTTTCGGGCCAGGTACGGCCAGCGAAGCCAAAGCAGTGGAACAGCGAGTTCCAGCCGAGACACGGGGCCTGGGACCCTACAACCCAGGACGGGGCCTGGGACCCTACAACCCAGGATGGAAGATGCGAGAGCTGAACCAGGGAGCAGTTCCAGAGGACCACCTCCGAAGGAACGACCTGCTGGAAGCAAGGCGCCACCTCCAGAGCCAAAGGGACCACCACCGAAGCGAGTGGGAGCAACGCAAGCCACTACGCTCTACCCGAATTCTCCTTGGAGGAGAACAGAAAGGAGAAGAATGCGAGAAAGGGGCGAGGAGCCAAACCCTGGAAGTGAGGAAGATGAATGGGGAGATTGGTCAGGACAATGAGGTCGACTACCAGAAGGAGAAAGCAGAGATCGACTACCAGGAGGAGAAAACAGAGATCGACTACCAGGAGGAATCAAAATTCTATGGCCTATGTACAAACAAGAGCCTCTACTCCGACAAGACTATGAATGGAACAAGAGATCCATTGGTGATGTGGATTTGGACCAGCATTCCAGGAGCAAAGAACCTCTACGCAATGGCAATGATGCTTATGCTTGGAGTATCAGGTGCGATCATGTTGTGCATTGGATGTTTGCAAGCGACAGTGCACTTGCAGTCATGTCGTCAGTCATGTTTGTGGAGATTGCAACATTCATGTTTTCGGAGGCGCTTGAGCAGAGGGGCACGGAGAGATCACTTGCGTTCGTGTGCTTGTGTGAGAAAACAACAGAGAGGAGCGATGCTGTGTGTGCTTGTCGTGTTACAGTTTTCTGCAGTGCAAGGGATGCAGCAGAATGGACCACCCCAACAACCCACAGAACTTTCTGAAATTCTGACTGCATTGACAAGGGCGACCCAAGTTGGAATGAGTGCGCTACAAAGGTTGGAGCAACAAGCAAGCAGTTCGGATGATCTGAACCGAAGGATTGAAAGTGCGACAAAGGCGATCAAGGCACCAGATGTTTGGAACCCACAAGCCTCGGGAGAACATCCACCGGATTTTACAACCTGGAAACATCAGTTTCTGAATTGGCTAGGTTTTGCCGATTCGCAGTACTCAGAAGCTCTAAGTATGATTGAAAGTCTGGGAGCAACGCCGATCGATGTTTCGACTCTCACTACAGTGGAGAGAGAACTTTCGACAAAGCTTTACCACATACTGACTTCGTATATGCGGGGGGCAGCAACGCAACTGTCTCGAAATTGGAGCAGGGAGCGATGTGGGTATCGTCTCTATCAAAGTTTGCTTTGGGAATACCAACCAGCCACCAAACAACGAGCTCTAACCCTCAGTCAAGCGATTGGGATGTTTCCCAACTTCGATGGGGCCAAGAGCATGGTGGAGCAGATTGGTTCACTGGAAAACCTTGTTCGGGAGTACGAGATCGCTTCAGGAAAGACCTACGATCGAGATTTGTTGATGGGAGTTTTGCTTCGATGTTCACCGAGGGCGATTCGAGACCACCTTACTTTGACAATGCCCGAAGGAACAAACTACATGTCAGTGAAGCAAGCGATTCTTTCATACGAGCAAAGCAGCAAAACTTGGGATTACCAGACGGTGTTGAAGCAAAAGACCTTGCAGAACACAGCGAGCAGTTCGAATGCAGATCAAGGACCAGCACCAATGGAAGTGGATGCAGTGTACGAGAAAGGAGGAGGAAAAGGAAACAAAGGCAACAAAGGAAACAAAGGAGGAAAAGGATCCTACTCGTGGTCAAGCTTTGGAGCAGGATTTCGCCAATGGAGAAAAGGTGGACGAAAAGGAAGCTACAAAGGAGGAAAGAAAGGACGAGGCAAAGGTTTCCACAAAGGAGGAAAGAAAGGCGGAAAGAAAGGTGGAAAGCATGGCAAAGGAGGAAAGAAAGGTGGAGGAAAGAAGTTGGACAGAGATGTTTGCCGATTCTGCAAGCAGCGAGGACATTGGGGAAACGAGTGTCCAAACCGCAATGTTCGAGAAGTGCAGGCGAGCGAGGCCAGCACCGAGGTACCCCACTCGACAGTCGAGTCTGTTACTCCGTCGCAGAGTGCGAGCCAATACAGGATAAGGAGAGTGAGGAACATTGATTTCCATCACATTGCGAACACACCACCTGACGGCACAGAGCACTATGAGCTTAGCGAAGTTTCAGAAGAAGAAGGTGATTGGTTCACCAGAAGGATAGAGGTGCAAGGACCAGAGTGCTACTACATCGGGGATGATAGTGAGAACAAACAAGATCATGAGAGTGATGAGCTGTATCAATGGTATGAAAACAGCTTGGAAAGAGTTCAAGGAGGATTGGGACCTCCAGGAGGATTGGAACCTCTGAGTCAGGGAGGATCGGAACCTCTCAATGTGCGAATGGTCCAGTTGGACACAAAGCAACATGTGGTGATCTTGGATTCAGGAGCAGATGTGAGTTTGTTACCACGAAGATTGTCGGATGCAGGCGTCGAAGTTTCGACCCCAACCTCTCTGAGGTTGCAGGACGCACAAGGGGGTGCGATGCGAGTTGAAGGTATGCGGCGAGCAGTTTTGCAGTTCAGTAGCTGCAGTGTGACTGAGGACTTTGTGTTGTCGGACACCAATAACATCTTGCTGTCTTTAGGAAGGCTACTCAAAAATGGATGGAAGTTTGTGTCAGTGGGATGCAAACAGCGCCAAGGGGGCGAGACCTGGGGAGAAGAAACCCAGGCGGGGGAACTTGTATCTCCCGATGGTAAGGCACGGGTGCCTGTGGAATACCAGAGGAATAGCTTGAGATTGACAGCGGAAGTTAGAGGAGTCGAGCAAGTCAGGGCAGTCAAGGTGACTTTGGCCTATGACTTTGGTAAAGTCCCAGAGAAGGATTGGAGCCTTCTACCGAATGGAACGCCAGTCCATCGCCATTTTGGACTTGAGTTTGTAAAGCCACCGACAGGTACTTGGAAGTACAGGACCACCATCGTGAAGGTGGGCAACGAATGGGAAGTGATTGAAGCAACGGAATTGCTCGAGCGAAAATCCGACTTGGAAGATCGAATACCGGGATTGCTTTTTCGATCAGAAATTCTCACATTCTTGCACAGGACACCAGAGTATCTGGACAAGTGCTTGGTAGAAGAGGTAGCACCAGAAGAAGCACCAAAGGAGGAAGAAAAGAAGATGGAAGAGGAGCCAGAATGGTTTGGAAGAGAAAGAGGAGCTCCAGAAGAGTTGCAGGTGCCAGTGCCGAAAGGAGTTGTGAAGCAGCAAGGAAAGGCAGGAGGACACCAAGAGTTGGAACTCGACATGGGAAGTACTATTGTGGTGAATGGAGAGTCACTCACAGCAACGAGTGAGATTGAGAAGCTGCGAGAAGGTTGTCGGTATTTGGGTTTGAGCGTCTCAGGGTCAAAGGTGAAGATGTTCAGGAGACTGTGCAACTACCTCACCGAAGACAGAGATGAGGACGCAGAAGAAGTTGCAGACAGGCTGAGGAAGCAAAGGCCCAAAGCAAGAACAAGACCCGGAGTGCCCGAACCGACAGAAGCAGAGATTGAAGAGCATATGGCAACCCACATGCCAATGCAACCATGGTGTGATTTCTGTGCAGCAGCAAAGTCGAAACAGGACCATACCCCACAAAGCAGTGAAGCAAAGTATGAAGACCCAGGAAAACCAGTGATCCAGATGGACTTCATGTACATGGGTCAGAGCAGTGTGAGTCTGATCATTCTTGATTCATGGACTCGATTTTCGTGGGCGATTCCAGTGCCGGGGAAAGCACCGACGAAGAAGTTGGCCGAGAAAGTGGTGAAATTTTCTCTCGAGATGAACTACATTTCCGAAGAAGGCAGGAAAAGCTGAACTTGACAAACTCGCCAACATGAAGGTTGTGAAGACGATCAAGAAGGAAGAGTGTTCAGAGGAAGGTAAGTTTCTGACACTAAGGACAGTTTTCGATTGGAGAAAGAGAGATGGAGTTTGGAAGCGTAGATGCAGAATTGTGTGTCGGGAATTCCGTGCGGGAGCCCAGAGCACGGAGGAGACTTTTCGTCCTACGTCAGGACACGCAGCAGTGCGAATGATGTTTCTTTTTCATCTCATCTACAATTGGGAGCTTACAGTTCTTGACATTCGTGACGCATTCTTGCAAGTCACGCAGAAAGCTCTGATGTATGCTGATATCTCACCGTGGATTCGAACACTACTTGGTTTGGATGAAGACCACGTATGGAAAGTGGAGAAGTGTCTGCCAGGGCAAAGATCAGCGGCAGAACAATGGTTTACCCATTTGGTTGAGATTTTGAAGCGTTTGGGATTTGAGCAATTTGTTGGGATACCCTCAATCTTGAAGCACCGAGTGAAGAAGATTGCAGTGTCGATTCATGTCGACGACGAGCTAGTTGCAGGTGCAAAAGGCGAAGGAAGATGGCTGATATGCGAGCTAGAGAAGTTTTTCAAGCTCACAGTTGAGGGACCGTTCCCATCCCACCGGGGATCGGGAGAACAGCTTCATTACCTGAAGAGGACCTATGAGTTCCTTGAAGAAGGAATTTTGGTGACAGTGTCGAAGAAGCACTACGAGAAGCTTAGAGGACTCTACAAGCTGGGGAACCGAAAGCCAAGACAAACCCCAGAGCACCAGCTGATTGGAACAGTGGACAATTCCAAAGAACTGGAGGAGAACGAGTGCAAGAAGTTTCGTTCAGCGTTGGGAACACTGTTGTACATTTCCCAAGACCGATGGGATTTGCAGCATGTGACGAAGTGTTTGGCAAGTAAGATGTCGAAGCCAACGGAACAAGCGTTAACCTGTTTGAAACAAGCTTTGCTCTATGTGCAAGGAACAGAGCAACTGGGATTCCTACTGAAGTACACAAAGGTTGGAAACAAGATGATGGATGCGATCTATCAAAGAGAAGAGCAAGAAGAAGAAGACGAAGAAAAGAAAGGAACACACAGTATGGAAGTATTCACGGATGCAGATTGGGCATCAGACCGTGAAGCGAGATGGTCTACATCATCAGTGATTGTGTGTGTGAATGCAGTGCCAGTACTTTCGTATAGCAGGACCCAGAAAGCTACAGCTTTAAGTTCGGCAGAGTCCGAAGTGCTAGCATGCTCAGGAGGAGCATCAGAAGCGATGTTACTGAAGAAGTTGTGGATGTTTCTTGCAGGAAAGTTACTCGTGGAGATCCGGATGGATTCAAGTGCGGGAAGACAATGGATGATGCGAACAGGAGTCGGAGGACTCAAACATATCGATCTGAGAGTATTATGGCTTCAGCGAGGGGTGAAGAACAACAGCTTCAAAGCAAAGCCAGTGCCTACCAAATTAAACATTGCCGACTTGAATACAAAGCGCTTAGGAGTATCTCGAAGGAGATTTCTCATGTACCATATTGGAGCCATGGTGTGGAATGGAGAAAGTCATGAGCGTTATGGGAAAGAAGAAGCAATGGAACATGTGGCAGGTGAAGTTTGCCGAAGCCAAGTTCGAGCACTACGTGCAACTTTGTTGAGTGAGCGAGGAAGCAAGACGGCTAGAGCGATGTACTTGACAATGATGGTGAATATGATTTCTCAGATTGCAGGACAGCCAGACGATTTTGGAGGACGAGAACGAGAAGAACGAGAATTTGTTTTCATCTATGTGAAGGAAGTGAGTGGATGGATTATTCTTTTCAGTGTGCTACTAGGAGGAATTTTCGCTTTACTCTTGTTCTACATGGTCGAGCAGAAGGTGAACGAAGGACGACAGGAACCACAGGAAGAAGGACCACAGGAACCACAGGAAGAAGGACCACAGGAACCACAGGAAGAAGGACCACAGGAACCACAGGAAGAAGGACCACAGGAACCACAGGAAGAAGGACCACAGGAACCACAGGAAGAAGGACCACAGGAACCGCAGGAAGAAGACCACAGGAACCGCAGGAAGAAGGACCACAGGAACCGCAGGAAGAAGGACCACAGGAACCGCAGGAGGAATTCACTATTCGAAGATTTGTGCAAAAGTATTGTCCGCCCGATGAGGATGATGTTCAACGTACAGCAAGGGCAGTCAATATGTATTTCCGTGATGCACCAGAGGATTCAGCGACAGGCAGTGGTAATGGGATGCCTGGAATCAGTACAGTACCAGCAAGCCAAATCCATGTGAATGACGAAGAGCTTGCAAGGCGATTTCAAGAATGGGGAATGGTTAATATCATTCCTATGGCACAGGATGTGGACGAACAGCTACGAGCACAACCCCAGTATGTGTACACGCCTCATGGCAAGAGGTACCACCGACCTACATGTGCAGATGTGCAAAGGTCAGAGAGATTCACTTACAGTGCAGCAGTGCATGCGAGATTGCACTACCGTCCTTGTGGCAATTGCAGGCCCGGGACCATGTGAGTGAATGATGGAATGTTTCACTTTTCCGTACAGTGTGAGCTACAACGAGTACAAGCTTACCTGAGCGAAGTGTTACCCACGAGGAAGCAGTGGGAACAGTTTTCACCGAGTGCAAGGACTCCGATAGGGAGAGCACAACGAGGCCATCGCACAATACCAGATGAGCCCAACGACATACCTGTACAGTTTCTACAAACCCGTTACTGTAGAGTGATGTTGAGCTTACAGTTCGCACAACATCAAGGCGGGGTGTAAAGTTTTTCTACTACCTGGGAACCCCACCTACCAACCCAAAGGGTTGATGAGCATGTGTGGATTTGTGACTCATGTTTTACCGACAGCGCCTTTACCGGTTCAAGGAAAAAGAGCGACTTGAAGTTTAGCAAAAATACTCTCTATGTGCAGCACTTAAAAGATGCCAACGCCCGCAAGAAGTCTCCGCCAGTCGACTTCTTCCTATATGTCGAACAAGATGATCAATGTGCCTTAGCAATGCTCAATGCTTCCCAGGCTCGTGATACTGTGCATGCGCTTACCCAAGCATCGATCATTGAGGTCGTTGACATTGAACGAAGAGGAGCCAGCCCTGGCACCTTCCTTCACAAAGTAATCGAAGAGAACAGCCAGCTACCTACGCCTTGTCTGATATTTGAGGGTAACGAAGCTGCCTTGCATTTGCACGGCCATACTATCCTCTGTTCCCCTTACCTTGGGCAAAGGGAACTCTTTGCGCTCTTCTTAACCCCATACTTTGCTGAGAATTATACCAGTAAAGCCTTTGCTTCAGATTGCAACTCGAACGAAGCCTGGCTTAGCGAGGTCTTGCGCGACTTCTCTTGCTTTGCTAAGCTTGCTCTACCGTGTCGACAGGCTGTGTATATTGGTATTGATGCACGAGGCGCACATTACACCACATATAAGCAAGGTACGGTGCATCAACAGACTGTCACCCACAACAACATCCCCTCCACAATTCCCACCCAAGAAAAGGCACTGCGCATTTATGTCTACGATCGGCAACCTGCTGTCTACCATTGCTTCTATGGGGTCCATCGGGACCCTTTGCCCCTATGACGACGATTCGTGACGTGGTGATCAAGGCAAGGTCTACGACCTTCCTTGATCACCTCAATGCCTATGTTGCTTGTCGTAGACATCGCGCACGTGTCAGATCCCTCAACAGCATTCTCCTTGCCTACAACCTGCCACTCACCTATCCCACAACACGTGAGCTGAAGCTTGCTCTCATGGCCAATGACAGCCGACCTTTTAACCTAATCGCTGCTATCAATCTTCAGCTCCCGACAGAAGAGCTTGAACTTGCACTGAATCTCATAGCTGACAGGCTTGTTCCTTACTTCGACACGATCCCAAAGGAGCCGTGCAAGCTGCAGGCTGTCGTTAGTTGGAACGTTACCTCGCTGTGTACCTTCGACACTATTGGCCTTGCCAAGCTTCGTACCATTGGTGTGTTGGCTCACCAAACGCCCGTGCTTTTGCAGGAAACCAAATGGAATGCTGCCTGTTTACACCGATTCAGACAGGCAACAGCCAGAATAAATACGATTGCCTCTCTCGCTATTTGGAAGGACTCTGGAGGAGTTGCTGTCTGTTTGCCACAGGACTATAAAGTCGTAGAAACTGTTGACCTTGTGCCTGGTTTTGCCCTTGCCGTGCTGGTCAGATTTCGGTCTGTCTGCTACTGGCTCCTGTCGGTTTATTGGCACCCTGATCAATGGGGGAAGCTTTTCCCTGCACTTAGTGCTTTTGTCAAGGATGCAACTCATGTGGTTGTCCTTGGGGGGGACTTCAATGCTGTTAATCAGCAGAAGGAGGGTGAGTATGCACATCTCCTTGCTCAAGGCGACATGATTGAATGCAAGTCTGACAGGCCAACTTTCGAGCAAGGCTCTACCTGCAGTCACCTTGACCATTACCTTATTTCCAGTTCGCTGTACTTGTCCGCCAAGATCTGTTCTGTCTCTTGGAAGCACAAAAAAGTAACTGGAGGACATCACTTGGTAAAGATTCGGTTTCGGCCGAAGCATAAGCTTGACAAAGATGTCCCGGCGATACCTGTTCGGACAGTTCCTGCTGCGGCTTTTTCTGTTCCACCTGCGACTACTGACTTGCCTGGCATCGAGGCTGCGGAGACTAGCCCTTCGCACCTTCTTCTTCGTAAACTAATTAATTGCACTAAAGCCCGCTTGATTGAAGAGCAGAACAATGGTCAAAAACTCTGCCCTTCTGACGCGCTCGTTGCACAAAAAGCCACATGTTTCTTGTGGCATGCAAACCTACGTGCCCAAACTGGAAACTCAATTGCTGCATTAATTAGGAAGTTGGTACGCCTTTTGAACAGGAGCACTGGTGCGACTGTCGGTGTCAACGCAAGCACCGTCACATCTTTAGCCAGGCATATCACCATACCCCCTTTCACGCCGTCAGGTAATGGTTCAGCCGAGCTCCCGAGACATTGGCTTCAAGAAGCGCTTAATCGGCTACACCTTGGTGCAGAGCTGAAAACTGCCCCCTCACCAAGTCTTCGTTCCCTGGTTGCTCAAAGAGATTTGCAGGTTGATAAGTCTAAAATTAAGTGGCAGGCCTTCAGGAAAATCTGCCCTCGAATCATCGATTCGCAACAGGTCAGAAGCGAAAATGGCCAGCTGATCACATCTATGAGTCAGTTTGATGCTGCACTAAGGGCAACTAGAGCCTTTTGGCACCACTTCCCTTGTCAATACGATAACCAGTGGGACAAACTCCTACAGCAATATGCGCAAAGGGCCCCCTTCGTGCCGGCTGACTTACCAGATGAAAGCATCATCTTCAAGGCCATTATTACCACCAAGGATTCTTCCCCGGGTCCCGATGGTGTGCCCTATGCCTTCTATAGGCAAAATCCGAGTTATTTTGCCAACTTACTTGGGGATCATATGTGGGAGATGTGCTTGTCTCAAGCTGATCATCCGCTTCAGGCCTTAGTCTTCATTCCCAAGGCAGACAAGGGTGCGTACGCGGACAACTACAGGCCACTAGACATGCCCGATACTTGTGATCGAATCATTGACTCCGCAATCTACGCTGTCCTTGCTGAGTCTTTCAAAGACTCGCTACATCCTGCCCAGGCTCTTCTTAATCACTTCAAAGAACCACAGGCAAATTATGCCCAAATGCAACACTACTTGGAGCTCAAAGATGCCCAGTACACAGTCATGCTTTCCGACTTTGCCAAGGCCTTTGAACGGGTGAATCCCTGGTGGGTACTACAGTGCTTAGCGGCAAGAGCTGCCCCTGCCTGGATCAAAGCTTACGTCATCCACCTTATGTTTGGGAGGCGCACCCAGCATAAAGTGCAAGGTTTCTTGCTCGAGCCTATCTCCATCCACCAAGGCCTTGCTATGGGAAGGGCGACTTCTGTTGTCCTTTTCTGTCTCGCCTTAGATCCCTTGATTTGGGCGCTGCACGACATTTCTTCCTTCATAAGACTAACGGCTTACATGGACGATAACAGCGCTGCCTCCAAAGGCCTGCATTGGGTGGAAAAGGCACAAAGAACTTTCGAACCAGCGCACAGCGCGGGGTTACAAGTTCTCCGTCACCAATGCTTCCAAGCAGGGTTTATTTCTTTACAGGTTCTCCCTGGGGATGTCAGAGCATGCATAGCCCAATTTGGTGTCGCTTGGATTGAGTCCAAACAGCTTCCACCGAGCAATACTCTCACCATTGGAGGTCCCTCATTGCATCAAGCCTTGTGCTTACTGCTTCAACAGAACATCTACAGCCTCGACCAAGCAATGAGGATGTCCTTGACTAGGCTTGACGTGCGACACGGACTGCTCTTAGTAAGCGGAAGCAAATGCTACGTCCTGTCTAGCGATATGCTGCTTTGCATGTGCACACAACAGCAAAATTTCCAGGCTTTGTTGGCTTGCATAATTGCATCGCCTTGCAAATGCAAATGCAAAAACTTCTATTCTTACCAACAAGCCCTTCAAAACTGCTGATATCCTTCTCCTCGACATGACGCCTTGGGGGTCTAAGATTGCAACAATGTTGGGCTTTATCCTGCGTGGCCGCATGTCAAAATATGAATGGGAGCAAGCAACGTCTATTGATGAAATCCATTGGGTTGGACAAAGGAAAATGTCAGATGTTTCCTTGCGCACGCTGATCCTTGATAAGGCCTTGTGCAATATGTTGAGAAGGAATAAACAAGCTCTTTCCCTTACTGCATCAATGCCTGCCAGGA